GGTGCTGGTGTTAGGGTGCTGTGTGAGTGTTAGGGTGCTGTGTGTGTGTTAGGGTGCTGTGTGTGTGTTAGGGTGCTGTGTGAGTGCTACGGTGCTGTGTGTGTGTTAGGGTGATGTGTCAATGTTAGGGTGCTGGTGTTAGGGTGCTGTGTGTGTGTTGGGGTGCTGTGTGTGTGTTGGGGTGCTGGGGTTAGGGTGCTGTGTGAGTGCTATGGTGCTGTGTGTGTGTTAGGGTGCTGTGTCAATATTAGGGTGCTGGTGTTAGGGTGCTGTGTGAGTGTTAGGGTGCTGTGTGTATGTTAGGGTGCTGTGTCAATGTTAGGGTGCTGGTGTTAGGGTGCTGTGTGTATGTGTTAGGGTGCTGGGTGAGGGTGATGTGTGTGTTTGCAAGGATTTTGTATTGGGGGGAGGCAGGTAGGTGTTTTACTAAAACAATAATAATACATACATAATAATAAATACATAATACATACTAATAAATACATAATAATAAATAATAATTAATAATAAATACAAATAATAATAAATACATAATAATAAATAATAATAAATACAAATAATAATAAATACATAATAATACATACTAATAAATACATAATAATAAATAATAATAATAAATAATAAATACATAATAGTAAATACATTATATCACCCCCCCCTCCATTCTTACCTGTAGTCTGGAAGGGTGGGGGGGGTCGTTCTTCTGCCAGCCATCCCTGGTGGTCCTCGTGGTAAGTGAACTCTAGCCCTTTGGGGCTAGAGTTCACTCTCGCGAGACCCGGCCGGTTGCCATAGCAACGGTCCGGATCTCGCGAGAGAAACCCGGCGGAGCTGCAAGTTAGAGCTCCGCCGGGTCCTCTCTCCTGGCGGCTGTCTCCCTCCTTCTCTCCCCGCCGGCGGCCGCGTTTGAGCACATGTGGGCCGGTGAGGGAGATCTTTGATCTCCCCACCGGCCCTTCATGGAACATAGCGGGGCCGGCGCTCGGATAGCGCCGGCCCTGCATGGACCGGCAGGGGAGATCCTGGGATCTCCCCTGCCGGCCTCGGCCCATGGACATCGCGGCCCACCGGGCATTTGCCCGGTGTGCCCGATGGCCAGTCCGGGCCTGGTGGGAATACACGTTGTGGCAGCCATCTTGGATAAGGGCACTTGCCAGAAAGTACCTATAATGAAGGAAAAATTACAGTAAACATCCCAAACGTATTTGGTAAGTATTTGCAGGGTCTCCAGACCAGACACTGGTTTCTTGGTTAAAAAAATTGACAGTGCACTTTTTTACTTTAGGACTT